ACACTAGTTGTCATTGCTTTATCTTGGTCTATTTATCCTAAATAAAACAGGTTTGTAGTCGCAGAAGTTCAGCTGTGATGATTATTTCTTTATATGCTTTTATTGAGACCCCAGATACAAAAGCCAATCATGTAGAAAAAAAAATTAAGCAAAAAACTCTTGTTTGCAAAACTGAAAAAAAAGCATGCGTTTATCTATCCTCATATCTCACCAAGAGCCGTATTTTTTCCATCACTGTTTACCTAAGCCAAAATACGGTAGCATAAATATGGTCGGGCAAACATTCAAACATATACCACTGTCTATAATGTTGACCATCTGTCCTTTTGCCGGGGCAAATTAATATCTCTCATAGAGTTTTTTACAGAGCTGTGTTGATGTCAGCAAACAGAGGCGTCCCGTCTGCACGCTTCCACGCCTGCCTCTACAGTAAAAAGACCCTGACTTTCCTGACTCCGTCTATGTCTAAACAAATACTTCAGGGAGGAGAACTGACAGGCGACATCTGTTGGAAAATCAAACAGTCATCCACTGCAACAGCAAGCAAGAGGAGAAACTCAGGAAACCATGGAGAAATGCAAAGCGAAACAGGAGAGCAGGTGTTGTAAAAACAATCATCACTCACGTTAGGAAAATCAGTTGATCTCAAATTATCCATGGAGTCCAGAAAAGCCACAAAGCTGGTCTGGTACACGTTCATCACCTGCAAACGAAGAAGGTAGCTGAGCGACACTAACATATACAGGTTTAAATAATGACTGTTTTTAAACAGAGGGGGGAAAAAAAAGGTGAAACCTCTTCCATGTTACATCCGTTGTCTTTGCATAAAGTTTCTAGAAGCTGCATATCAAGCTCTCGTTCTGCAGGACGGGATTTGGCTTTGCTCTGGCTGCGACGGGATGTTCGTGTCGGAGGGCTCTGAACTTTACTGATGGCTGATTCTGTCGCACATCAAGCAAAACAGAACAAAAACACTTTTAAACACCAACCAGGTTTATATCGCAACTTTGAATCGTTGATTTTCTGATTCTTGTCTCTTTTCCAAAGTTTTTTAGCAACTCCAGGTTGTCGGCTTGTCTATTATAAGTTTATCTTTTAATTCTACCATTTGTATGCAAAAAAGTGAAAATATTTACTTTTGAGTTCTGATAAAATATTTGATTTGGTTTTTACAGGCAAATTCTTGCCATGTTTGTGACATGTTTATACAAGTTTAACACAACTGTCAGCACAGGCTTAGTGTATGCCACTACCAACGTCTGAATTAATGGGTGAATCTTGTCATTATCTATCTTACACTTTTCATTATAATTTCACATTCGTAGGTATCTCAATAAAACCCAGTTTGTTAGATATGCGTCGTTAAGGTCTTTAAGGATTTTTCTTTGACTTTAACAACTGTACACATATCTCTCATACCCTTCTCTGCCCATTGTTTTATCAAAAGTTATTTTCATAAGCCTCCATTTTAAAAAACCAAGTTCCTTTCCCAGTTTAAGCTGTTTCATTATAGAGTACCATTTTTCTAAAGTATATAAATGCTCCAACAGTGAGGAAAGAGACGCACAGCTAATTATCACAATGTCACCAGGTGACTTTGAACCCATCAGATCGTTTGCCAGATGTTTAGCACAGATCATTATGTGGACGCACAAAAATTTTCTAGAAATGAATAAAAACAGAACTGAGGTAATAATCTTCAGACCAAAGGAGCAGAGATCCAGAATTAGCTCCCAGCTTCACCTACTACAGCTAGAAACCACTGATTATGGCTGAAATCTTGGTGTCATGATGGACTCAGACCTGAACCTGCAGAGGCTCATAAAAACAGTTACTATGTCAGCCTTTTATCAGCTGAAGAACATCTCTAGGATTAAAGGACTAATATCCAAGCAGGATCTAGAAAAACTCATTCATGCATTTATCTTTAGTAGAACTGATCACTGCAACAGTGTCCTCATAGGTTTGTCTCAAAAGTCCATCAGAAAGCTGCAGCTGATCCAAAACACCACTGCCTGTGTTCTCACTAGAACTAAGAAAGTAGAGCACATTAGCCTGGTTCTGAAGTCCTTCATCTGGCTCCCTGTAGCTCAGAGAATAGACTTTAAAATCCTTCTGTTAGTCTAGAAATAACTGAATAGATCAGCACCTCAATCCATAACAGATCTGTAGTCAGTGGATCAACCTCCCAGACCACTCAGGCCTTCTAGTTCAAGCCTACTCTGTTGATCCAGAACTAGAACCAAACATGGAGAAGCAGCATTTAGTTCCTAGGCTCCACTGATCTGGAACAAACTCTAAGAAGACTGGAAAAGAGCTGAAAGACTGAAGTATTTGAAGTTAAAGTTAAAAACCCATTAGTTTAGAGCTGCCTTTGACTCATGAAGTTAAACTGCTAACTAGGTTATAATTAGTTTAAGGTTGGGGTCCAACTGTTTTAATTGTTTTACTTATGTTCTTATCTTTATTTGCTTTTATTCGGCTTTTATTTTTCTTCTATTTTAATATCAAATTCAAGTAAAGCACTTACAATTGTCCATGTACTGATTTAAGCTATACAAATAAACTTGCTTTGTTACAAGAGAAAAATGTTTTTAAGAAAAATTGACAATTTTAAATAAGTCAGTCAATCGATAAGATTAATCAACCTTAAGTTACATTTCCTTAATTTATAACTTGAATCCCTTATTTTAGTCAGTCCAAAATTCATTGATGCTTTGACCCTTTTTAAGATCTATTGCAAACTGCTCCATAAGTTTATCCCTAATGCTGACAGAGAAAAACTTTCACTCGACGTCCATATATGAACAGATATAAAATCTTATTTCAGTATTTTTCAGCCTCGTCTTTGTCAATAAAAAGCTTTTTCAAGTTATTCTTGACACTAAACCCCACTTGTAATTTTTAAAGCAACTAAATCTTTATGTTTAAGTAATATGAAATTATTAAATAATTGTAAGGTGATCAAAATGTATGAATTAAAGACAAAGTCTGAGAGAGATGTTGCTGAATCTTACGGTACAAAGGCTGTAGCTGGTCTGCAGGGCAGCGCTTGATAAATAACTCCAACGTGCAAAGAAGCAGCTGGAAGGATATGACCAGGTCATCCTCCATCTGCAAGGCCCTTCCTGCAAACATGACCAGAACGAACACATGAGAAGCTCCATCACGACGACCCCGAAGCCGCCGTGAGGAGAATGACGTTCGAATCAACCTGATAGCTACGGCGCAGCACAGAGCAGGAAGCTGCGAAGCAAAACAACAGACGATACTGAATGAAGAGGATCCCCCTGATCAGGTTTTATTATTCAAAAAGTTTTGGCTACCTTTTGCCAACAGAAACAGCGTCCAGCAGTTCCGCATGGTCTCCCGCTCCCTTCAAAAAGAAAAGTGCATTTTATAATGACCTTGGTATCCTCAAAATTAGAGCTAAAAAATATAGAATAAGTATTCACACCCCTGAACTTCTTAGTGTTTCTTTCCACTGACAAAGTGACAGGGAAACTATGTGTTTTTTTTAAAAACACCCTGAATAGTATGCATAAACGTATTGTCATTTGGTAAAACATGGTGGAGGCGGCATCACAATCATTCTTGCAGTTGAAGTTGGGGAAGCTGGGAGCAGATGATGGGAAGATAGAAAGAGGAAAATACAGGGCAGTCCTCATAGATGACATGTTAAAGCAGGGGTTGGCAATTCAAGTTCCTGATGGCTGCTATCCTGCAGCTTTTAGATGTGTTCTTGGTCCAACACACCTGAATAAAGTAACTTGATAATTAAGAGGAATGAAATCATCCATTTGACTCAAAACAAGGACAAATCTAAAAGTTGCAGGAAACTGAACCTTAGGGACTGGAGTTGACATGAGGATCCGACAGAGGTCCTCCTGTTACAACAACAAATTTTAGCCACTAGGAGCACTAGACCTTCCAGGTTTAGTGCCTCAGCCGGCTGGTGAGATGAGGCCACATTCATCCCTGTAGATCAGGCATCCCCAAAGTCGGTCCTCGAGGGCCGCTGTCCTGCAGGTTTTAGAGGTTCCTTGCTCCAGCATAGCTGATTTTAATTGAAAGCTGATTAACAGGCCTTTGCTCAAGTGTAATCATCATAATCAGCTGTGCTAAAGCAGGGAAACCTCTAAAACCTGCAGGACAGCAGCCTTCGAGGACCGACTTTGAGGATGCCTGCTGTAGATTAAATCCTTCATCAGAGAACCAGATATATATGTCTGATCAGATAAGGGTCAGATGTGTTTGGTTGGCTAACATCTGTTAGCTTAGTTAGCGCTGGTGTTTGAGGGGAACTCAGACTTTCGTAAAGCGGCGTTCTGAGTCACATGAGCCATTGAGAGAGTTGTGTGAAGGATCCAAACTTTTGAAGTTACATAGGCGAGGTTTTGAAAAGGGCAACCGGCATGGAGTGTCAATACTATGAAGTGAATTTCTTTTTTTTTTTTTTTTTTAGGAAGGAAAATTTTCCTTTAACGGAAATTTTAAAAAAGTAATCAAGATATTCAAAAAAGCTTTTATTAGTAAATTTGCTGTTTTTTTATTTTATCTTTTTAAATTATTTTTTTTTCTTAATTTCCTTTTGTCATATTTTATTTTTCAAAATTGTAATTTTTCACATTTCTTTTGCCTAAAAAGTTACATTTTCTTCCCTTTAAACCCATTACAAATTTTTTTAATGTTTCATTTCTGGATTTCATTTATTTATTTTTTTTTTGCATTTACAAAACATGTTCGCTGCTTGCAAAGATAAGGGAACAAAATTAACTCCGTACAATACACTCTGAATGCTGAATACTGTCCTGAATATAATTGAATTTATTTCAAATTAACATAAAATGTTGGAGTGTTTCTTTAACTCCACCTTTGCTTATGCTTATATAGCCTTATGAATCTGATTTTACATTTAAATGTAGGCTTTTCATTGAAGCATTGCTTTTTGCTGGGCTATAACATAAAAGGGGTGTGAATACTTTTGCATGGAGCCGCACAATCAATGACAGTTGAGAAACTTGCAGTTTACCTGCCATCCGGTGTAGAGGCAAAGATACTCTTACAAGTCCTGAAACAAAACAAAAATATTTCGTCCTATTTGTGTCACATTGAAGTTGAACCTGCACTCCATTGTTGAGCTCACTCACTTCTCATATCTTTGGTAAAGAGCCAGCATTACGTCGTACTTCTTCTCCAGCCGGGTCAGTGCAGAGTTGACCTTTGTGGTTATGGTGTCAAGGTTCACATCCAGCTGTCTCACCACATCTAAAAACTGCTTTAAGCTAAAACAAAACAGAAATAAATGAAAATATTTCAGGGAAAGAAAAGAAGAAATTGCAGGAGTATTTGATTGTAAGATTAACTTAAACATTGAAGTCTGACTTTTAGTTTCTGGAGAACAGATCAAAAAGCTCAAATGCCATCAAGGAACTGAAAACTTTTACGGGTCTATAAAAAAACAAATTAAACATAACTAGGGTTGAAACAATTAATCAGATTAATCGATTTTTGAAATAATTGTCAACTAATTTAGTAAAAGATTAATCGTTAACTGGAGTATAGCAACTGTAAAACATGCCTTTACCTGACAGAGCGACCCACTTAGAGCAGCAATTATACCGAGATTGTAAAACATTATACATAAGTATTTTAGCATTAAGATGAAAAAATGTTTTCATCTGTCAATCTGCTCTATACAGAACTCCTCAAGTGGAAAAGTTTTAGTTTCACCTGGTTTCATTTCGTAAAAATAATCTTTAAGGAACCTTTGGCTATGCGATTATTAATCGATTAATCAAAAAAAAATAATCAACAGATTAATCGATTTGCAAACTACTCGTTAGTTGAAGCCCTAATCCAGTAGTTATATAAAGGTATCTCGTTCTATAGCTTAACTTTAATTTCAGCAAAAACTCAAAGAACAAGAAAAATAAAAAAGTCTTAAATAAGTCAAACATGGGTATTTCGATATAATCTGAATGCGTTATGGGTTTAACTTTCACCCAGTAGTTTAATCCAGCGGTGGGTTCAGAGGGGTGAGCCGGGAATCAGGTCTCCAGACGGCTCGGCTCACAGCCGCCGAGGTTAATTTAGGATGATCTTAATGAACAGAGTATTTATATTTAGGTTTGAATGACCCACATTCTCGCCTCAAAAAAAAATCATAGAAATTTATTTTGGGTCTGAAAAAGCATGTGATTTAACATTTTATTCAGAATTTTGCCACCAATCCGCTATAATCATGGGAACACAAAGGATACACCTGATCTATCCCTCAGATGAGTTTAAATGAAGGATGTATTTGACAGGATTCATGGATCAGAACAGCATATAGCGCAGCGCTGTGATGTAATCAGTTTACAAATGCGACCTTTAGAGGAGACAGCCTCTGAAGTGGAAAACAACCACTGTTCATAATCACGGCACCAGGACTGAAACATTTAGCTGCGTTTTGCAGCAGCGTGATTCAACCATCTCTCTGTTTTTTTTTTCTTCTTCTTCCGTTTCATATTTACAGAGATGATGTCAAAAGTAAATCAACATCCATCAGAGTCCTCACTGATTATTTTACCCGGATCTGACTTCCTCCTCCACACAGTTGTGAAAACCCCTTAAAAAAGCAGTTTGCTGTTTTCTCAGATCTTCTTACCAGATAGAAATACCAGAAAACCACAGGATGTAGCAAGGCATGCCTGTTCTCTTTGCTAAACCTTCTTCTTCGTAAACAAGAACAGTTTTAGACAGGGAACAACAGGGGGCCAGTGCCCTTTTACAACTGGCCCCTGTTATGGCCCCTGTACTCCAGACATAATACTAAAAAAAAAAACACAGTGCCTTAAAAGTTGTGTTCATTATTATTTAAAATTAAGTTCAAAGTTTTAGTCATACATCTGCTGAATGTTATTTTGAACCAAATTTGTAAACATTTTAAACAAGTTGTTATAGTGAATATACGAATTTTAGTTAAAGTTACAGTGGAGGATGTTCTTTTTCCGGATGGATCATGAAATAAGTGGTCCTTCTAATTGGCAATCATTTTGGTGATATGTTTACGTAAGGCCGTCCTACCTGCTCATCCCCATTTTCACTTACTGGTAGTGACTCTGACATAGTGGGAAAAAAATGCCAATCTTCTTCTGGAAAGTAAGCTTGCTTGAGCGATGCTTGTGCCTTTTCAAAAATTAGCGAAAAACCTCAACTATACCATCCATCCAGCCATCCATTTGTTGTGACACTTATCCCAAGCAGGGTTGCGAGGGATAAGCCCCGCTGTCTACGGGCGAGAGGCGGGGTTACAGCCCCTGGACAGGTCGCCAGTCCATCACAGGGCAACACAGAGACAAACAACCAAACCATTTAATCAAACAGTCATGTTTTTGGACTGTGGGAGGAAACTGGAGTACCTGGAGAGAACCCATGCATGCTCAGGGAGAATTTGCAAACTCCATGCAGAAAGGAATCAAACCTGGAACTTTCTTGCTGCAAGGCAGCCGTGCTACCCACTGTGCCAGAGAGAGCAAGCTCAATTCGTGGCAGTGGCTGCGTTGCGGCCTTTCGGTGACAGTTCAGCCTGACACGGCTTTAGTACTGGCCACTGGCTACATTACTGGCTAAAGCCACTAACTTGTTTTTTCATTTAGTTTTTTCCTTTTTTTTTGTATTTTTTTGCCGTTTTTCTGCAAATTACTTATTTATAGTACCTCTAAGTAGTTTGTTTTTTTTATATATATATTTTTTTTTCATTTAGGTTTTTTTTACTTTTTTTGTAATTTTCTTTTAGTTTTTCGGCAAATGGCTTATTTAAAATACCTCTAAGTAGATTGTTTTCTGTTTTTTTTTTATATTTTGATGTTATTGATTAATAACCTGCATTTAAATGTTTATAATGTCACATTTACTTGATGGAACGAAGAAGTTTATCTGCCAATAGGTGGCCTCTGCCGGCACCGGCCACCATCAGCCACTCGCTGGCAGCATATTAGCAACGGCCAGTACGCAGCCACTATGATGACAGTCCGGCTGTCCTGCCATTAGGCTGCCCGAGCGGCCTCATTTATTTATTTATTTTTTTTTTTTCTTGCCATTTTTCGGCAAAAAACGTATTTATAGTACCTCTAAGTAGATAGTTTTTGTTTTTTTGTGATGTTATTGTGATGTAACCTGCATTAAAACTTTTATAAAGTCACAATTACTTGATGGAACAAAGTAGTTCACCTGCCAATAAGTGGCCCCCATAGTGGACTGCCACAGTGGCAGCGGCCACTAGGCTGCCACCATAGTGGCAACAGTGACTATGAGACTGCCACCATAGTGGCAGCGGCGACTATGCGACTGCCTCCATAGTGGCAGCAGCGACTCTGCTGCCACCATAGTGGCAGCGGCGACTATGAGACTGCCACCATAGTGGCAGCAGCGACTATGCTGCCACCATAGTGGCAGCGGCGACTATGAGACTGCCACCATAGTGG